ACTCATAGTATCTCCATCCTTCCCTTTTCTAAACAACTATGTTATGCACGTGCTGCCAGGTATCCTTTGTAGCTACGTCATACAGGTAGATAACAGAAAGAAAACAACATGGCACTGAACTGTTCCCAACCACAGAGGCTGAACCAGGGGATAAACTTTGTGGGACATGTTTTGCGCTCAATTCTTGCATCTGACAACATCCTGGTTGGCCATGAAAAATGTCCTGAGAAGACCAGAAACGACGTGGTCACATCCAATGTTGACTTACCAGCCTTTTGCTGTACCGTGGCTTGGACTCATCCATATCACTGGGAACCCGAGACCTGTCCCACCAACGGCAGCTATCTAACGGCGTCCAGTGTGAACATACAACCACCAGCAAAACACCTCAAAGTGTCCCGTAGCGCCGCAGGGCTCCATTTGATAGCAGTCGGAAGGCTTGTGTCAACGACTGCAGACCAACAACGTGACTAACAAACAGATTAAAATATATTATTTATCATCTTTGCAGAGCAGACATTTGTCGCTCCGTGTCTAACTTTACTTTTTACGCTCACTGACTTCACACTGTCTTTAAAAGTAGCGTCGCTTGCATATGGGAGTAGCTCAGCTCATGTACACAGGCTGCTACAGAGGTTGGAAGTGAAAAAAATTCAAAACATTATCATAAAATCAACACCATCTGAATACTCCAGCTTTGTTCCTTGCTTTCGTCAAACAAAGTCGTGCCCAGCTAATGATGCCTTACATGCACCCGCAGGAAATTTGGCATAACGTCAAGTCGCATCGTGCATAACTTCTGATCAAATACAAGAAAAAGGATGTACACTGTTCCTGCGATTAAAACTAGCATAGTACAAAGTTAATGCCGTCTCTGAACAGCCGCCATTTTCCATCCCATCACAAAACATCACTACGTCCCGCCCCCAGAGGGACATTGGACCAATCACAGACATGCCCGGGAGGCACTCATTGGACGACAGCAGTGTCACTCACGTCAAAGATGTGTAAACTGTAATTGGACAAGAATAACCAATACACATCGAAATACACTGGCATCCTACCAATAACAGCACACTTCGAGAGCGATCTCATACCTTATTGGTTAATAGATCCCTACGCTGTTCATTAGTGGACGAACGCACAATCGGTCAAGAGAAGCAGCCAATCACACGAAGAGCCAACGCACTAACCACTGCCCCATTACACAATATAACTAGTCATCACTCATAAATACCCCAAATTACCTAAACAAAGCCGCGGTTCACAATACGTACCCCCATAGCCACGGCGGTCCGTCCACTTCCAGATATGTGCAGTAAACCGAGCAGCGTGACGCTCCCGGTGCTCTGCTGCTCCACCAAAGGCTCACCGCGCAGGAACACGTTTTGTAGCTCTCATCTCAACGAGGAAGTGGCAGCAGGTCCATAAATGGAAGTATACTTCCAAGTGCTCCCAGTTGATTGGCTGAAAAATGTTGCGCGGCTCCTGTGATTGGTGGCAAGGACCTGTCTTTCAAATACGTATAGCTAGAATACGGCGAGCGAGAGGGCCATGCAAAGCTGTGACGAACATCACGAACGAATATCTTGTTAACTAGTCTGGCAGTAACACACGCCAATCCTAAGCCAACGGCAGTGTCTAATAGAAGGTGGTCTAGATCTGCAACAAATGGAATAATATACATATAATATAATAAATGGATTCTTAGTTTTACCCAAGCTCCATCTCTCTATTAAATTCTATGGGCTCCAGGCATGTATGGACTCAGCATGGGAGTTTCTGTTTCTTGCAGACATGAAACAAACGGCACCGTAAACATATTTTAGCATTTGGAATAATCAATCACTTTATTTTTTCCCAACAAGTGGGCAAAGCTACAAAAGACAGATTTTTATTACAAAGAACAACTTCTCCCCGTTCTCCTCCCTAGTTTGCTACAAAATCACAGGCCTTAAAAGAGTTAAGCAGGAAAGGAAGGACACACACACAAAAAAAATCACACACAGTGTTATTAAATGTCACACAAGCAATAACAAAGACTTGATTAGCCACGGCTGACTGAGACATGAATGACCATTAATCTTGCGAGACTTACAACCCATCCTCTATGAGTCCACACTTCATACATATGTTTATTGATTCGTAATTAAGAGTTACTTAAAGAGTTTTGTATTAATTTGTTCTTAATTTGCTAGGCTTACTTCAAACTTTGGATACCAGAAGATGCTTACAAGATGCACTAAAAAGCAGCATGAGCTGTTCCCCAGAATAATAAAAGGATAAAGTATCATATGACACTTTCTTTGCTGAACCATGCATGATCCACATTTTAGCCTTCACAAAGCCACAGTTGCCAGAGATCAAGTGTGACTATGGAACAGCAGGTTGCTGCTGCATTAGTGTGCTGCAATGCATCATTAGCTCACACCTACAGTGTAGGTAATTGATTTTGTATATCTGCAGGAAGGATGCAATTAGCCTAACCAGAGTTAAGCCATTACATTAAACTAGAATGACCTGTTTGGAAATACAGCTGTACTCCCATAAAAAGGGTGAGAAGCACACATACACAGTTTGAAAATGAATTAAATCTTTGTCATAAATACACAAACAACAAAACCTAAAGCAGTAAAACACATCCAAGGCAGTGTCAGTACAACCAAATGAAGCAGTGCTGTGTTTATTTCCATTTCTATTCTAACAGATACAAAACAACCGCTATTCTTTGGTCACACAGTGTCTGTTATCAGGTTGATCAGGTCAGCATCAAAACTCCTATATGTCAAATTTTAAGTGACTGTCTTTCATGAATAAATTGAAAAAATAAATGTTTGGAATAAAGGCCCACTATAAACTCATAGCTGGTGTTCATCCACAGCGTGATATTACCTGTGTTATTATATGCAGTCGATAGCATAAGTATTGGCACAGTAGTATGGTTCCACATTATAGCACACAGACAAATATACAAAAGAATAACAACAGCTGTCTCAATACTTACGATACTGACTTCATAGATGTGAATCAAAATGGGCATTGTGGTGGTCATTCAGTCAACGCACAGGAAGGTCTGTCTAAGGTCGGCTCGCTTTTACTTTGCTCAAATGTTAACAGACGCTGCTAGGAATTCTTTGCATATTATTAAAACATTTTAATGGTTTCTTAGATATGACGACGTTCATGCTTTTAATGGATTCAGTTTGTTTGTGAAGGTAGATCCGTACTGACTATTTAGTGTCTTTAAGTATTTTAATCATCTGAGACAGCAGTTCATGAGCCAGTGAATTCTCTTTAAAATTTACTTAAAAATCTTCTCTGACAGCCTTGTAAGGAAACAAAAGATGCACTGGGCTTGTACGTTAAGAAATCAACCTTTTTCCAAATAAAACAAAACAAAACATCCTGCTATTGTACTTGCCTAGTCAACTAATTGGTTGCCCTTTATCTAGTGTTGCAAGCTTGTCAAACTTCCCATCTTCTCATTGCAGATTTAGATCTAAAATAAACACTCCACACCAGCGTTAATCAACACATTCTACACCCAGTGCCACACATTTTCATACAAATACTGCCACAGTAATTATACAGAGGTCAGAGCCAAATATGAAACATGTCCTTTCCCAAATCATCCTGCCACTTTGTAAGGTACATGGGGATGATGGGGAGAAGACAGATTTTTCACTTCTTTGGGCACAGCTACGTAATCTAATGCAATCCAGCATAACCGCTATACAATACAATACAATACATCATACACATTTATGAAGCTTTAAATGTTGATATTATTGTTGGGATTATTGGCGTCAGGTATGGTTATCCTGAGGTTATGTAGTGAACTAAATTGCCTTTAAAGGTGAGTAATAGTTTCTTTAATTCCTGCTTTGTCTACCTCTCAGACATGTCAGAACAGGACGGTCAAATCCATTTTTATATAACTGTGGTGATCCAGAAACTGCAGTGAAGCTGAATTTAAATGTGGAAAAGCCTGATATGGTTAAGAAAGTTGTCACACCCTATTCTGAAGTACTGGTGAATGAATACAAACAAGTGCAGCATTTACTTGAAGTATTTGAAATGACACAACATGAAAGCGGTTCTGCTTTGCCTCATCCGCGACTGTGTGGACTCTGGTGGTTCCATTCAGGTCTTCTACTTGATGAAGCTGTAGACAAATGAACCGAGGACGAGGGCCAGAATGACACAGCAGCAGAAGATCATCATTTGTTTCTGGAGAAGAGGGGGGTTGGGGTGGGGTTACAGAGACACAAAGAAAGCTGATGATAAATGAACGAACTTCACAAAAGACTTCAAGTGAGAAAGTTGACTGTGAATTTCTGACTGCACAGCAAGTAAAGAACTCTCCCCACAATGCTGGCAATCATGTTTCCTTAATGACGTTTAAGAGACGACTTCATAAGCAGAAGCAGAAGGACTTAGCGCAAGACACAAGAGCTATAAACAGATGGGTCAGGCTGCCGTTCACAGGAACATCCAAATGAATGAGATGCATTCCAGTTGGTAAAAAACAGAGTGCTACAACCTCTTCCTGTGTCACAGACAGGAAAGCAATTCTTCACTAAAATAACACTGATCAATGTGAGGACTACTCTGACTTTCAAAATGTTTTACGCATCATTACTCCATGTTACTGCTCAATCAGTCACAACTCACCCTGCGTGCCTCCTGCTGGAACTTTGCTGCCTTCTTGGTGTCAGCGACTGCCCTCTCCACAAAGCCCACTGACTGGTCCATGTTGCTCTCAATTCTGTCAATCATGCCACCCTAGACGGGGGCACAACAACACGTGATAATGTGAGAATCAACAGAAAGACATAAAACTAACAAAAGGCACACATATGTTTATGAAATTAACTTTGTGCATGTTACCAGCATGCATGTTGGTAGCTTTGTCTTTAACTGTCTGTTTACATGGGTAGAGGAAATGTGTCAGATTTGTGTTTAGCTTGTGCCTGTATTATATCAAATATCTGATCAGTTTTAGAATTTAACACAGTGTTAAGCACAGATGGAATTGTGTTACTGCACTGGACAATAATCCACCAAAAATGAGATTAGTTTTCCTCTACAGTTGATTTTAACTATCAAAATGCAGCTGCAATGGACACTAAACTAGCTCAGCTTGTTAATGCTGAATGTGACTTTGCTCCAAATATTTTGTTTTTTTTGGTGTCATCTGTGGTCCTTGCTGTGTGTGTACCTGGTTCTCAACCAACATGGCGATATCAACAAACATGTCATGAAGCTCTTTGATGCTGCTTTCCAGCCTCATGATGTCTTTATGACGAGCCTCAATCTCATTCAGGGCCTGCTGGTTGATCTTAGAGTCCATTATCTGCAGAGGGCGACAAGATGAGACAAGCAGAAAAATAAAAAGAGAAATAAAAGATCGAAACCAGATGGGCAGAGTAAAAGCTGAAGTTGTGGTCATGCGTGACAGTAGGCATGATTAAGTGTCATGCTACTTCTCATCGTAGCAAAATGATAAAACTTACTCAAACACTCAAACATAAACTTATCAGCCACATCAAAACCATTGACAGGTGAAGTGAATAACATTGATCATCTTGTTACAGTGCATTGTTCGACTGGGAAACATTGGGTCCTGCATTCTTTGACACATACTACCTAATCATTGTTGCGGATCAAGCACAACATGACATCAGAACTTCCTGATAGCAGTGGCCTCTCCCAGCAGGACAATAGGCTCCGCCACACCACAAAAACTGCTGAGGAGGTACGGCTTGAGCATTACAGCAAAGAGCCCAAGGTGGTGATCCAGCCTCCAAACTCCCAATATTTCTATGTGATCAAGTATCTGCAGGGTGCAGTGGAACAAGACAGATCCATGGAGGGCCCACCCCTTAACCTACACCACAAAAGATATGCTGTAAACATCCCAGTGCCAGACACCACAGGACACCCCCAGAGGTCCTGTATCTCTAAATCTACCTGCTTGATGCAGTTGTGTTTAAGGCTGTCAATAATAGTTATCTTTATCAAAGGCAGGGGACACCTGGACAGGTCACCAGTCTATCACAGGGCTACACTTAGAGACAGACAACCAAGCACACTCACAATCACATC